CTAAGCGTCTAATAACGTAGGCTACGCATAGATAGAGGAACCGGGGCGCAGCAACATAATATGCGGAGCATCAAAACCGCCCAGTTACGGAACGGGTGAGAAGAGTTTAGGTACATTATAGGCTTGTACGGTCGGAAAAGGACCATCTAACTTGCCCGCCAGCTACTTCCACCGTAGCGCCGTGCATCAATCCGACTCGAAGACGGAAAGGCCCTGCATTCATCGAGCGCGTCGTGTTCAGCAATTTCGTCTGGCCCGTCTAAGACCTGTCAAGGGCGCCTCGACGGGATGCATCTCCACCCAGGGATTGATAATTAGGGGTCGACGAGCGAATCGCACAGTTCCATTCGCCGTTCGCCACGCCGCCACTCTCTACACCCGCTCGGTAGGCATTTCCCACTTAGCGCCTCACCCACTGCTCTGGTTTCCCGGTATGGAGCCTCGCGAGGCTTAGCGCCTCGCCCTCTGCGCGCCATGCCGCGCAGAGTATCACTCGCTGCGCGCCTCCCAACCTTAGCGCCTGATTCGCTGCGCGCCTCCCCCGCTTAGCGCCTGACCCGCTGCGTGCCTCCCCCGCTCAGCGCGTGACCCGCTGCGCGCCTCCCCCGCTCAGCTCCGCACCCGCTGCGCGCCTGTCCCGCGTAGCGCCTTGCCACCTGCGCGCCGTTCCCGCGTGTCGCCGACACCCTCTCCCGCTTAGCACCGCACCCGCTGCGCGCCTTCCCGCTTAGCGCATCCCCTTCATATTACCCCTTCAAGCCCTCATTTCCCCCCCTGCTGCTTATCACTACTCCCACTGCTCCCCTTCATGACCCCTCTTGCTGCTTATCCCTTATTACAACTGCTCCCCCTCCCCTCCTGCTGCTTATCACCTCCCCCACTGCTCCCCTTCTATTCCCCCCCTGCTGCTTATCACTTCTCCCACTGCTCCCCTTCATTTCCCCTCCTGCTGCTTATCACTCCCCCCGCACCTCCCCTTCATTTCCCCTCCTGTTGCTTATCGCTCCCCCCACTCCTCCCCTTCATTTCCCCTCCTGCTGCTTATCACCTCCCCCACTGCTCCCCCTCAATTCCCCTCCTGCTGCTTATTACTTCCCCCACTCCTCCCCTTCATTTCCCCTCCTGCTCTGCTGCTTATCACCTCCCCCACTCCTCCCCTTCATTTTCCCTCCTGTTGCATTTCGCTCCCCCCACTCCTCCCCTTCATTTCCCCTCTTGCTGCTCATCACCTCCCCCACTGCTCCCCTTCATTTCCCCTCCTGCTTCTTATCACTTCCCCCAATCCTCCCCTTTATTTCCCCTCCTGCTCTGCTGCTTATCACTTCCCCTACTGCTCCCTTCATTTCCCCTCCTGCTGCTTATCCCTTCCCCCAATCCTCCCCTTTATTTCCCCTCCTGCTCTGCTGCTTATCACTTCCCCTACTGCTCCCATTCATTTCCCCTCCTGCTTCTTATCACTTCCCCCAATCCTCCCCTTTATTTCCCCTCCTGCTCTGCTGCTTATCACTTCCCCTACTGCTCCCCTTCGTTTCCCCTCCTGCTGCTTATCCCTTCCCCCACTGCTCCCCCTCAATTCCCCTCCTGCGGCTTATCACTTCCCCACTCCTCCCCTTCATTTCCCCTCCTGCTGCTTATCACTTCCCCCACTCATCCCCTTCATTTCCCCTCCTGCTGCATATCACTTCCCCCACTGCTCCCCTTCACTTCCCCACTTGCTGCTTATCACTTCCCCCACTCCTCCCATTCATTTCCCCCCCTGCTGCTTATCACGTCTCCCACTGCTCCCCTTCATTTCCCCTCCTGCTGCTTATCCCTCCCCCCACTGCTCCCCCTCACTTCCCCTCCTGCTGCTTATCACTCACCCCACACCTCCCCTTCATTTCCCCTCCTGCTGCTTATCACCTCCCCCACTCCTCCCCTTCATTTCCCCTCCTGTTGCTTATCACTTCTCTCACTGCTCCCCTTCACTTCCCCTCTTGCGGCTTATCACTTCCCCCACTCCTCCCCTTCATTTTCCCCCACCCCTTTGCTTTCTTCCACAGCCTTGTCTCCGGCCCCTACGCTTCCCGTTTCCCGTTGGGCATCCCTTGTTATCCCAACGAGAGGGAGTGTATAGCACCCCAAGACGGCTAGGCCGTGGTCTACCACAAGTGAGCTGCATACTTCCCCCTCTCTGCCAATCCATCCCCCCGTTACTGCCCTTCCCCGACTGCCATGCCGTTTCCCTACTGCCCTTTCCTTCCCTGTTATTGCCTTCCCTCCCTTCCCATTCCGGCTTCACATCATCCTTCCATTACTGGGTGATCGACACATTTTCCGATAGTAGAAAACGTCGCACGACGTTCTATTGGTCCCCACACCCATCGTTGTCATGGGTCCATCTTATCCACCACACTTCTTCCTCACCCCTCCATAGCTCAAAGTAGACTCACCTCCCACGCCACATGACCTATAGGTTATTTTTGGAGCCCTGCATGCCCCAACACTCCCATCTGCCCGCCCCTCCTGTGCCTTATTTCATGAGCCCGCCTTGACATGGTCGATGTGACCGCGCATAATTACAAGCCCGCCATCACAAGATCTCTGTCCACCTTCTATTTCGTATCATCCATTCCATCTCCGCCGCGCGGATTTGAGGCCCTGCTTTCCCCCTCCATTCCCTCCGCTGTCCAAACTACGCAGGACTCGTAACGGGAAGGGCACTTCATGGGGCATCCAAAGAAAATATCTGTGGAGTCATGGACAAAGAGGGTGAAGGAATTGGTGAAAGCAAAAGAACAGGGGAATCTAGCAATATCAAAGCACATGCAGATCCCTATTTGTTACTTGTGTTGTGGCTTGAGCACTTTGATGGGAGAGGGACGTACGGCTACGCTTTCAGACCTTGTGTACTTCCTGTTACACGCTGGCGTACCATCACCAACGGATCATCTGAACCTCGACGTACACTCTTTGGTAAGTCCCCCCATATGTCTCAACGCGTATTTTGGTGTATTATACATGCAAGTAGACAGTACATTTGCAATGTTGTGAGTGTGCATAATAACTGCGGTTGTAACAATTGACCTCCTTTGGGTGTTGTTTGCAGGGGACGTCTCCAACGTCATATAATAGTACCTGGTGAGCAGCATGCAACATTGGGGATTGCGCCCGTATGTGAGTTCCTGTCTCACCCATTCCATATCCATGGCCCCTGACTACCGCCCAATCGACGCCTCATATTCACGCCTCGTGGGTCGCACTACCCATCTACTCAAGTATGGATTGGTTTGCATTGCCTGCTGCATGCTGCGCCGAGCTGCACCCCTTGCTCTTTATGCGTCTGTGCAAGTGTTTCTATGCTGCTTTGGCCGATGACTACCATTCCAACGACCCCTCCTGCTCCTTCCTGGTGCGTCCCTCCCTTGCTACCCCCTTTCTGCTGGGTCTGCCTTGCTGCTTGCTGCTTTCCCAATGTGGATCTGGACTCGCTGATAGGCACCTTGCCTTCCCCCCCCCCACACCACTCTCATTGGCCTTGCACGGGTGTATCTGCACTCACTCGGCACAGGTCTTTCTGGTTCAAACTTCCACCGCATCCCACACCTGATTGCATTCTCACTCAAACTGTATTACATCCAGCTGCGCCGCTGGAACTTCCGAGGCTGGCTCCAAGCCAACGGACACGACCCGAACCTGCATGAGGCAACGGAGAAAAGCGGCAGGAGAGAGTGGGGAAGCGGGAAGCAGCAGGAGGGAAAGGAGTAGAGCAAAAGGAAAGATGGGGAAGATGTGAAAGGGGAGGAAGCAGGGGAGGATAGGGGAGAGTGGAAGGAGCAGGGGAAGAGAGAAGAGAGGAGGGAGAGGGAAACCAGGTGGGACATGGAGCAGTGGAGACGTTGAGGGTTCAACTGAGCATGCAGTACACTCAGGAGAAACTCGCCCTCTTGGGATTTTATGTGGGGAAGGTGAGACTTGCCCTCTTTCCTGGCCCTTCTCAGCCCGTTCCCACAAAACCAATTCCACCTCGCTTGCTTCTCTTCTCTGTGCGACCTCCCTCCCACCCCCTCTCTCCATCCCCCCCTTTCACCCTTCCACTCCTCTCCCCATCCATTCTTTCCCTTTCCCATCTTCTTCCTATCCCTCCACTCCCCATCCCCTCCTCTTCTCATCACCTCCTCTCCCTGCCCCCTCTTCTTCACATCCCCTCGTCCTCCTGTCCTCTTCCTGTCCCTTCCTTCCTCCATCCCAGCGCCCCTTCCCTCCATGTCCTCCCCTCCTCCTTCCTTATTCCTTCCTGCCACCCTTTATCATCCCCACTTTCCTCCCCAGCCTCTCTTCCTCCTCTCCCTTCTGCTTCTCTCCCCCATGTCCTCCCTACCTCCCTTCTCCCCATCATCACTACCTCCCTCCCCCATTGCATTCCTCGCTTCCATCCTTCCTCCGATCCTCCTTTCTTCATTTTTACATTCCTCCCTTCATCATTTCTCAGCTGTCATTCTTTCGGATGCTTGCTTCCCTGCTACTTCACCCACGTCACATCTGACTTCCTGGTTTGTGTTCGCGCAGGTCTTCTCTGGATGTGGTTGTGATGTGTTGGCTGTTTGATACCAAATGACATATAGACGTGCCATGTATTGGATAGTTTTTTATGATACAGCATTATGTGCTTCAAAGCAGTTCTACACATGACCACTACTTAGGGGTCCAACAACCATTATACTAGTGATATTTGTACGGTACAAGGGGAATAACTCATTTTTATATAATAACAAATCTGGGGGGAATGTTATGTTGCTTCCCGGTTTTGTCCGCTACACTGCGATCAATATACCAGGCCGTGGTAAAGCCACAACATCTGCTGCTGGGCACATGTACCCTGCATTGGGGGATATGGTGAGAGGGGGGAAGAGAGGAAGCAGTGGGAAACAGAGTGAGCAGAAGTGAAGAGAGTGAGCAAGGGGGACGAGAGTGAGAAGAGAAGGGGGGGAGGGAGCACTGGTGAAACAGAATGAGCAACCCTAAACAAAGTGGTGGGGGGGAAGAGAGCGAGCTGGTTGGAAGATAGTGAGCAGAATGAAAGAGGGTGAGTAGCGGGGAATATAGTGAGCAAGGTGGAAAAAGAGGAGGGGGAAGGGTGTGAGAAGGGCGAAACAGAGTGAGCAAGGGGAAACATAGGGAGCAAGGGAATGGGATGGGAGAAGGGGAAGGGGGGAAGCAGGGAAGGGGATGGGGGGGAAGGGGATGGGGAGAAGCACGGAAGGGGATGGGGGGAAGCAGGGAAGGGGATGGGGGGAAATAGGGAAGGGGATGGGGGAAAGCACGGAAGGGGATGGGGGGAAACAGGGATGGGGATGGGGGGAAGCAGGGATGGGGATGGGGGGAAGCAGGGAAGGGGATGGGGGGAAGCAGGGAAGGGGATGGGGGGAAGCAGGGAAGGGGATGGGGGGAAGCAGGGAAGGGGATGGGGGGAAGCAGGGAAGGGGATGGGGGGAAGCAGGGAAGGGGATGGGGGGAAACAGAGAAGGGGATGGGGGGAAGCAGGGAATTGGATGGGGGGAAGCACGGAAGGGGATGGGGGGAAACAGGGATGGGGATGGGGGGAAGCAGGGAAGGGGATGGGGGAAGCACGGAAGGGGATGGGGGGAAGCACGGAAGGGGATGGGGGGAAACAGGGATGGGGATGGGGGGAAGCAGGGAAGGGGATGGGGGGAAGCAGGGAAGGGGATGGGGGGAAGCAGGGAAGGGGATGGGGGGAAGCAGGGAAGGGGATGGGGGGAAGCAGGGAAGGGGATGGGGGGAAGCAGGGAAGGGGATGGGGGGAAACAGAGAAGGGGATGGGGGGAAGCAGGGAATTGGATGGGGGGAAGCACGGAAGGGGATGGGGGGAAACAGGGATGGGGATGGGGGGAAGCAGGGAAGGGGATGGGGGGAAGCAGGGAAGGGGATGGGGGGAAACACGGAAGGGGATGGGGGGAAACAGGGATGGGGATGGGGGGAAGCAGGGAAGGGGATGGGGGGAAGCAGGGAAGGGGATGGGGGGAAGCAGGGAAGGGGATGGGGGGAAGCAGGGAAGGGGATGGGGGGAAGCAGGGAAGGGGATGGGGGGAAGCAGGGAAGGGGATGGGGGGAAGCAGGGAAGGGGATGGGGGGAAGCAGGGAAGGGGATGGGGGGAAGCAGGGAAGGGGATGGGGGGAAGCAGGGAAGGGGATGGGGGGAAGCACTGGTGAAACAGAGTGAGCAACCCTAAACAAAGTGATGGGGGGGGGAAGGGAGCGAGCTGGTGGGAAGATAGTGAGCAGGGGAAAGAGAGTGAGTAGCGGGGAATATAGTGAGCAAGGTGGGGAGGGGGAAGAGTGTGAGAAGGGCGAAACAGAAGGAGAAAGGGGGGAGATGAGAGGGAGAAGGGGGGCAAATGGGCAGGTGAATGGGAGGGAAACGAGAGGGGGAAAGGGGGGACATGCGAGGGAGCAAGGGGGCGAATGAGAGGGAGAAGCGGGGAGAAAAAGGAGGAGAAGAGGGGGAAATGAGAGGGAGGAAGGGGGGAGGGGTAATGGGGAGACGGGGAGGGGAAACGGGGTGGCGGAAAGGGGAATTGGGGAGGCGGGAAGGGGAAACGGGGAGGCGGGAAGGGGTACCGGGGAGACGGGGAAGGGGAAACGGGGTGGCAGAAAGGGGAATTGGGGAGGCGGGAAGGGGAAACGGGGAGGCGGAAGGGGAAATGAGGAGGCGGGGAGGGGTAACGGGGATCGGGATGGGGAAACGGGGTGGTGGGAAGGGGAAACGGGGAGCGGGAAGGGGAAACGGGGAGGAGGGAAGGGGAAATGGGGAGCAGGAAGCAAAATCGGGGAGGCGGAAGGGGTAATGGGAAGACGGGAAGGGGAAACGGGGTGGCGGGAAGGGGAAACGGGGAGGCGGGAAGGGGAAATGAGGAGGCGGGAAGGGGTAACGGGGAGGTGGGAAGCGGAAACGGGGAGCGGGGAGGGGAAACGGGGAGCGAGAAGGGTCGACGGGGAGGCGGGAAGGGGAAACGAGGAGCGGGACGGGGAACCGGGAAGGCGGGAAGGGGAAACGGGAACGGGACGGGGAAACGGGGAGGCGGGAAGGGGAAATCGGGAGCGGGAAGGGGAAACGGGGAGGCGGGAACGGGAATTGAGGAGGCGGGAAGGGGTAACGGGGAGCGCGATGGGGAAACGGGGAGGCGGGAAGGGGAATTGAGGAGGCGGGGAGGGGTAACGGGGAGCGGGATGGGGAAACGGGGTGGTGGGAAGGGGAAACGGGGAGCGGGAAGGGGAAACGGAGAGGCGGGAAGGGGAAACGGAGAGCGCGATGGGGAAACGGGGAGGCGGGAAGGGGAATCGAGGAGGCGGGGAGGGGTAACGGGGAGCGGGATGGGGAAACGGGGTGGTGGGAAGGGGAAACGGAGAGGCGGGAAGGGGAAACGGAGAGGCGGGAAGGGGAAACGGAGAGCGGGAAGGGGAAACGGGGTGACCGGAAGGGGTCCTGGGGATTGGAAAGGAGAAACGGGGAGGCGGGAATGCGAATTGAGCTGGCGAGAAGGAAGACGAGGCGGTTGCACGGGGTTGGAAGCTCCCGTTTCTGCTGTCGTTCGCGCACTCAAGTGCGGCTGCTGGGGCTAGTGCGGAAACGTGGTAGCGAGGCAGTCGCGATAGGGCTGCGACTGTGATAGTGCGTGTTCGGCTGTTTGAGACGACACGACGGACGACGACGAGGAGAGGCCGTGAGAGGAGGTACCGCGGGATCGCCGCGTGAAAGGGAACCACTGACGTTGGTTGAAGTCTATAATTACAAGAAAATGCCCCACGCATTTAGGTTTGTGACGAAAATTTGCAGAATTTGCGCTGGCTGTTGAGTCGATGTGCTTAGCTACGTAGCATGCCGGCTGAAGAGCGTGGTGGCGTAGATCTCACAAAGGCTCGATTTCGTATACTTTTGTCGATCCAAAAGTTTTAAATCACCAGCAAGTGCTGGGTGTCGGGGAGATCTCCCTCCCTTGTTCAGCGAGTGAACTTGCAGGTAATCGAGTTACCAATATTTCAAATTTCAAAAGTTTTGAACCTCCCTCTTTCAAATGTATACAAAAGCTTTAGGGTTGCGAAGCTTTTTGCGTAATCACATAAATTTGTACAGCTTCTAATTCTGTACATTTGCTGTAGTATGACACTAAGAGGGACAAAATTCGGCAAGGATTCAAAATTTCACATCAGCTGGAATCGAACTACCTTACGAACCCAGCTTCACTCCTAAGTCGACTGCGACAGCACCGACACGTGTTTCGTGCCACGAAAAATATAAGTCATTGTTTCTTGCGATGAATCCAAGACTCCCTTAGGGTTTGTTCGTCCTTTTTTTCTCCTCCTGCTGCTCCTTCTCCCTAGTTAAGCTCCCCGCCAAACACGCTCCACCTACTAGTGCAAGGTAAGAACCACCCTAACTTATCATTTTGAGCCAAATTAGATCATTACACGCTAGACTACCATTTCTTGGTCTCATATCGTAGTCGTTTAGCATAGTATTGGCCGCATGTTGTTTAAGGCTTAGGTTCTAGAATTGTTGTAGATACTTTAGCTTTAGGTCTTTCACTAGATTTGTGTCTTTCAGTTTTAAATGTCGTTCAACGTTCGTTCGCATTCAACTATGCACGGTTTAGGCATATCTCGGTGAGTTCGTAGCTAGGTGCGTTTATTTATTTCATTTCCTTTCCTTTCGCCTTTCATCTGTTTTTCTTACCCGTTCCTCTTTCCATCTTGATCTTAACGTTAGTTTTTTTGTTAGCCATGAACTTCTCTTGCACCTCGTTTGTTTCCACCATTCGTTTCTCTTGTTACATATTTGTTTTCTTCCATGGTTATCTTTTCTTTGTTAGCCTGAACGCGTTCCTTCTAGTTTTATTGCTCGTGCTGGAGAACCTAATTCCCAATCTTTTGAAATCTCTCTCTCTCTCTCCTCGCCTCTCTCCTCTCTCTCTCTCGCTCTCTCTTTCTCTCTCTCTCTCTCTCTCTCTCTCTTTCTCTCTCTCTCTCTCTCTCGTCTATCTATCTGTTATCTATCTATCTCTAATCTCTCTCTCTCTCTTCTCTCTCTCTATCTCTCTCTTCCTCTCTCTCTCTATCTCTCGCTCTCTCTCTCTCTCTCTCTCTCTCTCTTCTCTCTTTTCCGTTCTGTCTCGTTCTCTCTTTCTCGTTGTCTCTTTTCCATTCTGTCTCGTTCTCTCGTTCTCTGTTCTCTCGTTCTTTTTCTCTCACGTTTTTTTCTTCTCCTTTCCATTCTTTTTAACGGTCATTGTTTTTTGTAAGTCTGCTTTCTGCCTCCTCATTTCCTGGTGTTACTTAGATCGTTTCCCTTTGTTTCAGATCGTGTTATTTGAGTCGTGTTTCATTTTTTTTCTCTTGATTTTTATAACGTTAATAGGTTTTTTTCTATAACCCGTCGCAATAGGTTAATCGCCTTTTTACAAGTCGTTTTTTCTATATTTAGCTCGCTCGTACTCCAAGCTCCTCTTATTTGCTGTTTTATTGGACGAGAATCTACCTTCCCCTCCCTCCCCCTCTCTTCCGCCCACCCCCCCCCCCCCACCACCTCCCCCCCCCCCCCCCCCTCCCCCCCCCCCCCCCCCCCCACCCCCCCCCCCCCCCCCCCCCCCCCCCCCCCCCCCCCCCCCCCCCCCCCCCCCCCCCCCCCCCCCCCCCCCCCCCCTTTTTTAATGTTCAGAGGCTTTGCTATTCCCTGCGCACTGCCACGATCTTTATGAAGTGTAACGATAATAGTCGTGACTTGTAGAGCTGTATTGTATTGATTAATCTTGTTTGCATTTGTTTTATTGTTTTTACTGTTTTTTTTTGCATTGCCCTTTTGTGTGTGAACGGATTCTGTCTGAGTTGTGTGCATATCGGTATGTGTGTCAGTGCATGTCTTTGTGTGTGCACACTCATCCGTATGCATCTGTCATCGCATTAACAATGCGGATCTGTGGGTTTTAAAAAGATGGTCAAACCATCATTTCCGAGAAGGTTCTTTGCGCACTCAGTGAGTGTGTCCACTTGAACTGGATTTGATGGATCTTGATCATTTTTTTAATTTACACAGATTGTGTTGTTTCATGTAACGGTTGGATGATTCAGAAACTATGCTATTGAGCTCCCCTGTCAAACAATGCATATTGCGTTTGTGTAGGCTGCTAGTGGGGTAGCCCATATGGGGTACAACCCAATGTTAGGGTTAGCTTATGTACCCAACTCTTGATCAATGCATTCATTCTTGTCTCTAGATTCTGACATGGTATCAGAGCAGTAGGTCCGTAGGACCGGTTTTTTTTTCGGGCCCACCTACCGCTACCCCACGCCTGTGCCTCTGCCTGTGACGTGCTGCGCTGCGCGCGCCGTCTGCCTGTAGCCTACTGCCTGCTGCCTACTGTGTTGTCTGCTGCTGCTACCGCGCAGACCTAAGTAACGCACGCTGCCCGCTGCTGCCTCGAGCGTCGCCCTCGCTGCTCGCGCCGCTCTGCTGCCCCTCACACGCCGTCAGCGCAGCGCACAGCCCCCAGCGAGCCGCGTGCAGCCCCGTCGAACCGCGTGCAGCCCCGTCGAGCCGCGCGCAGCCCGGATTTGCCGCGCGCAGCCCCCGCCGAGCCGCGCGCAGCCCCGTCGAGCCGCGCGCAGCCCCGTCGAGCCGCGCGCAGCCTCGTCGAGCCACGCGCAGCCCGTTTTCTGCTGCGCGCGGCCCCGCCGAGCCGCGCGCAGCCCGTTTTCTGCTGCGCGCGGCCCCGCCGAGCCGCGCGCAGCCCGTTTTCTGCTGCGCGCGGCCCCGCCGAGCCGCGCGCAGCCCGCTGCTGCCGCGCGCTACCCCCCCCGAGCCGCGCGCAGCCCCTGCCGAGCCGCGCGCGGCCTCCTGCTGTTGCGCGCAGTCCCTGCCGAGCCGCGCGCGGCCAGCTGCTGCTGCGCGCGGCCTGTTTCTGCCTCCCGCAGCCCGCGCTCGGCCCACAGCAGCCCCGCGCGCTGCCCTGCATAGCCTGCAGCTGCATCGGCCCCGACCTTCCGCTGCTGCGGCCCCTCGCTGCTGCTGCCGAGGCTCCGACCTGCCGCTGATGCGGCCCCCACTCTGCGACTGCCGCTGAAGCGGCCCCCCACCCTGCAGTTGCTGCGGCCCTACTCTACTGTCGCTGTTCCGGCCCCATCGCAGCTGCGGTCGTGCGCCTACTCGGCCCTGCTCGCCCGGCGAGCACCTGCCCTTCCAGCCTTTGGTGAGCACCTGCCTGCCTGCCTGCCTGCCTTTCGGCCTGCCTGCCTGTCTTTTTGCCTGCCTGACTGCCTACCTGTCGGCCTGCCTGCCTGCCTGCTGGCCTGCCTGCCTGCCTGCCAGCCTGCCTGCCTGCCTGCCGGCCTGTCTGCCTGCCGGCTTGCCTGCCTGCCTGCTGGCCTGCCTGCCTGCCTGCCTGCCTGCCTGCCTGCCTGCCTGCCTGTCAGCCTGCCTGCCTGCCTGCCGGCCTGTCTGCCTGTCAGCCTGCCTGCCTACCTGTCTGCCTGCCTGCCTGCCTGCCTGCCGGCCTGCCTGCCTGTCTGCCGGCCTGCCGCGCCTGCCCTGCCCGAGCTGCTGCTGCTACTAGCTATTAGCAAGGGACCAGATGCAGCTCCAGCGACACTCACGCGAGTCTCTCACGCCCCAGCAGCTTAGTGAGTGGTATACTAGTTGGGGCTGTCGCGGTAGCCGTCGTAGCTGTCGCCCTGGAGCTGGTCAGTTGGGGGCCTCTAGCAGCGGCCAGCTGCAGCTGCAGCGGCGTCCACGCGAGACACTTACGTCTCGGCAGCTCGAGGAGTGGTACGCTCAGAGTAGAGGGTCTTTCAGTCCAGTGCGCTGCCGGTACGTCATTCGCACAGGTGATCGAGCTGGTCAGACCTGCGGGACGCCTGGTCACACACAGTCCCGCTGCTTCGCCCGCCTGAGCGACGCCTGGCGTACCGAGTTTGGTGACGAGGCTGAGCTCCCCACCTGGCTGGAGCTGCTTAGCCAGAGGATAGATATCTTTGCTCTTGACTATGATGCTATTCTCACTGCTATGTATGCATTGCCTACTAGTGCTGACCGAGCCTGTTACCTGTGCGTACCGCCTGACCCAGGTATAGAGCCTGCTGCTCTCGGTGCTGGTGAGGCTGCTGCTCTAGGTGCTCGTGCGTCGCCTGCTCTAGGTGCTGGTGAGGCTGCTGCTCTCGGTGCTACTGCGTCTTCTGCTCTAGGTGCTGGTGAGGCTGCCGCCCCAGGTGCCTGTGAGTCTGCTCTCTCTGGTACTGCGCCTGCTGCGGCCTTGCACACCTTCACCCTTGACTCAGGAGCTTCCCGCTCCTTCTTTCGCGACTGCACAGGGTCACAAGACCAGTCAAAGCAAAGCAAAGCAAGCTCAGGGTGGATCTCAAGGATTCCACACAAATTCCGAGCACAAACAAGCGGTCACAAGACCAGTTCACATGCAGGTTTATAACAAAGCAAGAGATACAGTGATCACAACCTAGCAGAAGTAAACAAGTAGGCATATATATATAGTGATCACAGTACAAGCAAGGTCAAGAGGTAAGCAAGTGAGGCCCAGTAGGTACAAGGCCTAGCAGCGTGCAAAAGCGCTGATGGTCACAAGGCTGAAGCGCCTTGGTGAACACATCAGCAGTGTTGGCCTCCGTGGCCACGTAACGCAGACAAAGCTGACCACGCTGCTGCAGCTCTCGAGCAAGGAAGTACCGCAGAGCGATGTGCTTCGTTCTGTGCTCCAATCTGTGCTCCTCACACAAGGCAATGGCAGCCTTGTTGTCGACGTACAGTA